TTGTGGGTTTTTTCTTGTTTTTTTTTTCTGGCGCAAAGGTTAAATATTGCCATGAAGTTTTATACATATTTCATAACCAACTTAATTTTATTGTGTTTTTCCTACTAACCAAATCTTGCTAGACTGAAAAAAAAATTATATAAATACTATTTATAAATTTTAAATAAAATCTTAAATATTTCCTTTTAAAAATTTTATTTAATTTGTGTAAACACTGTTATAAAACTATCATTGCTTTTTGGGGTTCGTGAAAAACACATCGATTAAAAATCATAAAAAATTCATCCAATTATTGGATTTTAATAAAACTTTTAGCATTTATGTAAAAGAGAATATATATTTTAAAAGTAGTTTCTCTTCAAAATTATAGAGAAAAATAATTTTATTCGCGCGATTAGGTCCCCCCCCCCAGGAGAGAGAAGGAGAGAAAAGAGAACATCACTTCTTTTCTCCAGAATATTGTATAAAAGCGTATATATATATATATATATATATATATATATATATATATATTTCACATATTTTTTATAAATTTGTCACTTGTCATATATATATATATATATATATATATATATGACTCGAAGCTATGACGTAAAATTTGAAAGAAAAAAAACATTTAATACGGATGTAAAAACAATAGAACACAATACGAGATTTACAAATGAGTTTGCAGCCAACTTTCTTTTTGTGCGCATTATTAAAGGCAAGATAACCAATTTAAGAAAATAAAAATATGGTTCATAAAAACAGATATAAACTTTTAAAAAACTTCAAAAATCAAAAAGTCTTGCGCAAGGTACAATGCGATTCCTTTTAGAAAAAGGATTCAAAATAAAAATTCTATCAAAAAAGATACACTTAATTAAAAGTCGAAACTGAGAAGGCTTTGGCAGATTCACCAGAGTCGCTGGAACTGTAACAAATTTATTCTAATTTTTTAACACAGTTAGATTATTAATTTAAGAATTTATTCACTTTTCTAGCTTCTGCTTCCTTTTTTTGTTTCTTTCTTTGTTTGCTTTTTATTTCTTCCGAAAGGAACAGACAAGTCGATTCCTTGTCCTGAAATCTTTCTCTAATATACATTTTGTTTACCAATAAGGAATGTGACTTCTTCCCACGCAAATTTAAAATTTGGTACTCGTCTAGAGCTTACTGGAAGTCTATATAAGAAGTCGAGTTGGGCAGAAAAATTCAGAAGGTTGCGAGCATTGAGAAGGCATAAGAATTCCAAAGGATACGTAGAAGCGAGTAGACCCCAAGACAGAGAAAGATTTCAGAAGAACAAGGAATACACTTGGCTTTTACGGAGGACGTAAGAAGCAAACAAAGAAAGGATCAAAAAAGAAAGCAAAAGTTGAAAGAAACTAGAAAAATTAATAAATTCTTAAATAAATAATCTGTGTTAAAAGTTAAAACAGATTTTTTAAGGTCCCAGCGACTCTGGTTAATCTGACAAAGCCTTCTCCGTTTCGACTGTTAATTAAGTGTATATTTTTGAAAGAATTAGTAATTTGAACCCATTTTTTTAAAAGGAATTTTATTGTACTTTCTCAAGACTTTGATTTTTTTAAGTTTTTTTAAAGTTTATATCTGTTATTGTGAACCATATTTTTTTTTGAATTGGTTATCTTGCCTTTAATAATGCGCACAAAAAGACAATTTGTTGTAAATTCATTTGTAAATCTAGTATTGTGTTCTATTGTTTTTACTGTGCTAAAAACAAAAACAATTTTGTTAAAGTCCCAGCGACTCTGGCGAATCTGCCGCAGCCTTCTCGGTTTTGACTTTCAATTAAGTGTATTTTTTTAAAGAATTTGTTTTCAAGTGATGTAGTTTCTCCTATTCGGTGTAGTTCTTTGTGATTCTGTAGCGCCAGTCCACAATGTTTGAAGAAAGTCTTCGACAAGATCCATATTCACACGCTCAAAGTCAGATAGATTTGAGTTACAAATAGACGTACTGGAACGATAATTCTTTTTAGATAAAAATACATATAGAATTATCTTATTCCAACTACCTGTAATTTTTTTTTTTAACTATCCATGAAATTTTCTCTTACCTTTAATAAATTCCACGAATATTTTATAAAAGGGGTGGTGGGATTAATGAATGTCCCGTACGGATTTTATTTCTGGTCTGTCTATTTGAAACTCAAAAGTATTTACATATTTCCGACGGTTACCTGTAATGCAAATGGTAGTTTTCTAAGCGTAACTTAGACGTGGTTCAAGGTCGAAAGTATGGTGCATCCAGTGAGGATCGAACTCACTACTCAGTCGCAATTAGTTCTAGTGCGACAATTTTGCTAACATCGTCAGAGTGCCCAAACTGTAAATGCAAATGGATATTCGATAAAAGTCTCGATTTCGTAATGATGCTTTTCAAGGCCGGCAAGCAAGCCTACTTCACCAGCAGATTTGACGCAGTACCATCTTCTTATTGTCGTTATCATTTTATTTGATATTTTTAGCCAGATTGAAGCCAAGCAAAAGGTGTT